AAACCCAAAGTATATAACTATAAACTATATACTCTAAGCTGTGTTTTAACCCAGCTGGAAGTTACAAGCTTCAGTTCTGGTTAACTGAAACCACCTGACACAGGATTACCCAAATCAACAGCTTTACTCTTTTTCCTGGAGAGCACTCCTTTTACTCTGCTTCCTTGATATCCTCACCGATTTGTCAGCGTTGTCCATTGCTTGCACAAACTTAAGAGAGTCCACGGAAGCGGAGCGGATGGTGTCCGTGCGGCCCAGACGGAACATCCGCAGTGAGGCGCTCTCATATGTGGCACAGGAATGGCCATACATCCTGGGAGATGGAGCAGGACATGAGTTTCACTTGACAGGAGTAGCCCCTTGTGGAGCAGAGCTTTGTGGCTTGGGTTTTTGGGAAGGGGAAGGGTGGCAGGGAGGGGACACTGAACTGATCTGTGAAGTGTTTCTACAAGGATTTAATAGGCTTCCTGGAGCAAATTTCATTTGTTTTGTGGCATCTGCCACAAGTGAGAAGTTCCAACCCAGAGCATGGGGAAGTAAAACAGGCTTTAAGAGTCTTGTCACAACAGCCTAGTGATGACCTGGCTGTGACACCTTTAATAGACTCATATATTTGAGCCTGATTCTGAAGGGCGAGGAGGCTGAAAAGCTACCTACTGATGGTCTTACCTGTAATATGCTAACTGCAAGGCCTGCTGGATAAAAGCATCAGGGCTTATCTTCTCTGATTTAGGGAAATTTTTCCCAAATTGATGAAAGACCATGACTTTCACATCCAGATCTTGGACCATTCTGCAAGGAAAGGAAGTAAAAATGTTCACTTGCGTATTGGTTCTTGTAACATAAAGGTACAGGCTTCGCTTTCACAAGGCTCAGAGGGATTTTGGTTGTGATCTACACAGAGACATTGTGCAAAAGAATTAAGCTCTGTGCTTAGACAATGTGTAGGTGAGATTTTTGGTCACTGCCAAAAGCATGCAGTTAGGTTAGGCAGGCTCATGTCTTTGTGTATGCTCTAGTATCTCTAGGTAGATCTAGTAAAGCTTGCCCTTTCCCACTAAAGGGGGATGGTTAAGCAACCATCTCTGCTGAATTTTCTGCTGGCAGGTGGCTTTAGTCTGCTTTTTGGCAAGGTTCAGCATTGACCTAAGAAGTCAGTGGAAAAACTTCCTGGTTACAGTGAGGAAAACCTCTTGCTTAAACCACTGATATGTTCCAAATGGGACCATGAAGTCGCTCAGCAGCTTTCTCTGCTGCTTCATACTCACATGTTGAGGTTCTGCTTTGCCTTCTCTATGTCATTCTTGATTTCTGGGGTGATGTTAAAACGAAGCTTCTTGGGCATCGGCAAAGGAATCATAGGTGATCTTACCAGCTCTGGCTTCTTCCTGCATAAAGAAGTGGTTGTGAAGCCACTTAACCAGACCTTTGACCCTGGGCTTCACAGAGCAGAATTCTGCATAGAAATGATCGGACATCATCCCTAGCACCTTATGACACTTTGCCTCACAAAACTCCTGTCAACTCTGAAAAGTGGTTTCCCTTAAGAATGGGAGCAGTAGCAAAAATTACTTTGAGCTGGGCTTACTCAGTCCTGACCACTCACAAAAGAACTGCAATAACTACCCTTCCTCCACAGCAAACTCCTAGGGAGTGAGCTGTAAGGAGTATATTCTGGGGCAGCAGGTGATGTAAAACCTTTATCCAAAGCAGAGGAAAAAATGAGATACAGGACTCACGTGTACTCCACAACGTGATCCACAAGAGCCACAATGGGTGGCCCTTCTGCGGGAGCGTGCTCGTACACGAGGCCACAGGAGCCATCTTCAGCAATGATGAACTATGAAAGAAGTATGGAAAGACACTGCGGTGAAGAGACACGTCCAGTGTGAAGTGGGGGTTACCCAGAGAGGAGTTTTAGTATCTAACTGCTCTGCATCTGAATGGATAGTGGTCACGTTCCTGCATGCTGGAAAGGCAACAAATTGAGCAAAGCAGCAATGAGAATCCTCCAGTGTGTCTAAGAGGATCCAGTATCACTGCTACATGGATTTGCAGAAATTACCTGGATAGAAGAACGTGTCCAACATAGTGCCAAAGCACTGAGCTCACCACTTTGGAAATAGAGGAATAACAGAAGGATAATCTCACCTTCTGCTGACTAACCCTAACTTTTCAAGTAGCTGAAACATTTAAGCTTTATTCCATCAGTGAGGAGTTCCAAGAAGGAACAATATAACGGGGAACATTCGGAAACACTCAGCAGATATAGGAAGAATCCTTTTAAAGCACACTGCTACTGTCTAAGAGTCAGGACAGATCAACTAATACAGAAGGAGAAATTCAAATAGCAGCTGCTCTTGAAGGATCCTGACAAGACTGAAGGGAGAAGAGATCAGAGGAAAAACTGTGGGATGGCAGCTGATGCTTGGAAAATAACCTGGGTAGCGTCTGGCAGAGACAGGAGAAGTGACAAGCCTGGGGGAAATACAAGAAACAGACCTCCCTATGTTTGGGCTGCTTCCAAGCACACGAGGCATTGTTCACCACAGGCAGAAAATTGATTTACAAGGCACATAAAGAAGAGCTGTGCTGAAGAAGGCTGCACTGAACAAGCGTGGGCAGAGGCACTGAAAGCTGAAAAATCCCTGAGGCAGGAAGGAGTGTTTGTGGGGACTGCAAGGGAAACCAGAGGATCTTAGTCAGCCTCCACACCTTGCCCCCCTTATTTCTCCCCTCTGTTAGGAAGAAAGCTTTCCTGCTAAAGGTGTCTGGAGTCTCTGAAACATTTGCAACCTCAGGAAAAAAATATCATCTCCAGACACATCTTTTTGGTGTCTCTGTTGCACCAGCTCTTACTTGGAGGGTTTTGTCAAACCATCGGTTCCCGCTGTTCCAGCGGCTTCCTCCGCCGTGCAGCATCTGAGCAGCCACGCGGCTCTTGTAGATGTCATCGGACACCCGGGGCATGGGGGCATCAAGGCAGACTGTAAAAATGCTCTTCTCAATTGTGCGCACGGATTCCTTGTTGGTCTTATCTGGGACAGAAAGGGAAGAGGAAATAATAGGGAAGTTGAAAGAAAAAATGTTTTAATTAGAGGCTGAAATTTGAAAGAGCAGGACCCAGTGCAGGATCCTCATTGAACCTCAATGCAATATTGGTCAAGTAGCGATGTATACACGGACTAAAACTTGACAGAGCTGGGTTGTTCTGGATGGGAGTGTGTTACAGTCACACTCCCCTTGGCATGGTTCTTACATCCCACCCATTTGTAAGGCAAAAAACTGTCACAATTTCAAGTCATTTATGAGCCAAACTTTGCACTTCATCTAGGTAGCTTCCTAAACAGACATGGCAATGCTTTGCAGTGAAATTCAGCTGCTGCTTTGGGGGCAGAAAGCTCACTTAGCTATCTGTCCAGAATGAGCTTTCAAAGACTTTTCTATGTAAAATGCTGAACAGCACAGTGGAGAGGCTGGTAAGTGGGGTTTGATGCCACTTGTGTGGCAGGGGCTGCACAGACCTTTGAGAAGGTTGTTGTAGGCTTTTGCCCAGCTGTTTCGGTGGTTGGTGGTGAGGATCCCAATGGGCTCTTTGTTTGTTTGGAGGGAGGTGTTCCAGATCTTCTCCAGCTGAATGAAGAGCTGGTCAGTGGTCAGGGGACTTCCGTCACTGTTGTAAACATCCAACTCAAAGAACTGAGGAGGAGAAGAGTGGACAGAGATGGAAAATGAGAACTCCCCAGTGTCCACCCCAGAATCAAGAAGACACTTTGAAGAGCTAAGAACATGGGAATATGGCTCACAAGCAGACCTTTAAAAGCACCTCAGAAGTGAGGGACCCGAGACCAACTTCCTTTGCAGGGCCTAAATACAGCCAAGGTCATACGGCGCTCAGAAAACATGGTAACAAGGGACAATACCTAAGAGGAATTCCCATTTCCGAGTCTTGTCAGTGGTGGCAGAGTTCATTATCCCCTTTTCACTCACAATTTACAATTCCAAACCTGATCTGTTAAGATCTGGGCTTTCAAAGAGAGAATTTGCAGGGACAAGAAACACAGGAAGAGAGACCTTTCTGTCCTGCTCTCACCAGGCAGTCCCAGGTGTTTGCTAGCTGAAGCCAAAGGAGATAAAGGGAGCAGGAATAACCCCCTGATGAGGGAAAACCTTGTGGGTTGTTCCCTTTTCTCTGGCAGAGCCAACTGAAAGGGACACCTCCATTCCAACCAACCTCCTTGAAAGCCCTACCTGGAAGTTGTGAACCACCGTGATGTGTCTGGACTGCTTCTTGCCTTGGGCATAGTTGACGATGGAGTCCCGCTTGGGCCCGGGAATGCGGCAGGAGGACAGGATCTGGTAGTACTGGTTCATGCAGAGGGGCTTCCCCCCCAGGTACTCCACTGGAAGGGTTTCACTGCAGGACATGGCAAGGTAAGGAAGGAGGGGATGAAAAATGGCAGTGAAGAGTCCTGCACTCCCCATACGGGACAGGCTTGGCCATGCAGCTATCACCTACTGCAGCAAGCCAAAACATGTGGGTGTACAGTCTTCAACGGGGCCATTTCTTCCCATTTTAACCACCCTACTTAACAGGGACTACAGAGTGTTTGCTGGCCTTTCACTTGGGAAGGGAACGAATGACTCTCCTGTTTTAAACATATATAAATGTGTTTGGAAAATGTAACATAAATGAGCCATGTTAAGTAGAGGCCATTTGAGGCCCAGAAGAGAAAGGGTAGGGAGGAACAAGCTTCTCCAGAGCTCATTCTGGCTAGCCCAGAATT